GTTTGCGACGCGCGAAGATCCCCGGCTGACGGCCCCGTGAGCCCGGCTGCGGTGAGCCCGGCCCCCGGCGCGCACCAGGGCGATGGGCACGACGCCCCCGCTCCCACCCATCGCGGCCGGGCGCCGCTCGCCCTCGGGGCATGAGGCACACGGTTCACCGCGCAGCCGGCTGTGGGGTGACGCGTCCCTTCGTCACCCCGTGCTCGGTGCCACCGGCCGGGCTCCGGCCTCGCGGTGCCCTCAGAGCAAACCCGGCCGATTTGAACCACGTCAAACCGCGGAGGAGCAAGGGCGGCCGGGAGACGGTGCCTGTTCCAGCCTGCGCGGATTTCACACCCAAAACACCTTTCCAGAAATCCCTCACGGCGCCCGGCGGCGCTGGATTATTTGCGCTACGAATCTGGGTTAAGATGGTGCCTTGTTTTGCCTACGTGGGGACGGGGCATCGTTATTTCACGAGGCAGGGGGGAGGCGGGCGGGGGGAGGCCTCCCTAAATCATTTCATCTCCCCATCCCTGCGCCTCGCAGCAGGACCGCGGGGACCCCCCTCCCTGCCGGGGCCCTGCGGACGCCCGCCCGCAGGTGCTGAGCCCTTGGGGTCCCGCTCAGCATCCGCGGGGGCACAGGGAGACAGCTCCCGGGCCGCGGCTGTGCCGGTGCAAATCAGCTGGCACCCGGCTGTGCGCCAGGATCTGTCCCCTCTCCCTCATTAAAGCCTTCGCCCGAGCCCGCAGATGAAATCTGCCTTTTCCCTTGACTTTTGATAAATTATTCATCTCCCGAGAGCTGTTTATTCCCCCTCTCCGAGGCAGAGAGGAGCTGCAGATGCTGCTGGAGGCTCCCGGCAGGGCCGCGGCTGCGGGAGCTGCAGGAGGTGGGGGCTCACCCACTCCCCGGACCCCAGCTCCCGCTCCCGGGTGGCCGAGTGTTGTAGGAAAACGGGAATGGGGGAGCTGGGGGGAGGGAAGCCGCTGGGAAAGCTGCCGGTGAGCGATGCAAGCGCTGCCCGCGCCGGCTCCTGCCCGGCCGAGGCTGTGCCGGCAGCAGAAGCGGTTCCCCGGCAGAGACCTCCCACCCAGCCGGGACGTGGCTTCGCCCCGCGCCAAAAAAATGCCAAAAAAGCAAACAGTGAAATATAAATTTGGATCTGCTACCCGCTGGAAATGAATCTTGTTCAGGGCTCCATGGTGAGCTACATTCAGAAGCTGAGGATGCTCCAAATCCCTTTTGCCCGGGGGAACTCGGGATGATCAGACCCATTTTCAATCGCTGCTGCTCGGCCGGAGCCTCGGCCGCGGTCTCCTCCCGTCAGAGCTGGGAGGCGTTTTATTTTCTCTCTCCATGAATTCGATCATTTTCATCAGGTCTTTGGTTATTTTCCTTATTGGCTGAAATTTCTAATAGAGCTTTTAACTACAACAAATAGAGCCACTCCTCCCAGTCCCTGCTATTTCACCGCTTGCCCTTGGCTGTGTTAACATCTATCGCCAGAACAATTAGATTTTGGATGGATCTAAAGAGCCACTCGGGAGGCAGAAGTGTTTAGATATATTTCAGTATCTCCTCCGACGTCTGGACAGCTTGATGAGATGAGTCACTCCCGACACCAGCAAGTTGCCGGGCTTTTTGCTGAGCCCTTTTTTTCCCCCCCTCTCCCTGGAAAAGCAACCCTTCCTTTTCACAGCCTTTTGGGTTTTTTGGCAAACCAGCGATTCCCGGGAGCGTGCCAGCCCGTGCTGCCACGCGGCTCCGGGCGCTGCCAGCCCTCACAGCCTGCTCGCGAGGGGTTCGCAACGCCGCCCGGTTAACGACCCTCGCAGTCGAGCTGCCACCAAGAAGAGTCCTCGTTGGCGAGGCCGGCCCTGCAAACCGCTGCCTCCCCGAAGCGTAACGCCTCCCGGGAAAGGGGAGGGTAATTAATCCTCATCCCTAACGAGCGATTGCAATGGAGGGGGTGCAGGCACGGCGCGGGGGCTCCTGAGGATTTGAGCTCCCGGCTGGCCCCGCTCCCCAAATTTCCATCCTTGGTTGAAACCCAGGGGCCGACAGCGGGCGAAGGGCGGCCCGGCTCGGTGGGGAAACGGCTCCCGGTGCCCCAGGGCACAGGGCGCTTTCTGGCGGTGCCGTGTTGGCCCCCGCTGCAGTCCCCGGGACCCCT